TAAACCCTAAACCCGAAGCCCCCAAAAGCTAGAAACATCAGGGCGCCACGGAAGTCATCGTCAAAAAATGGGCCGATCCGGCTGCAGTGTGGGTTCGCTTGATGGCTTAGGGTTGAGGTTTTAAGGTGGCTGGGGCTCTGGGGTTACAAAGGTTTTGGGTTCAAGTTTAAAGATCAGGTTAGGGTTAGGGCTTACAGGTTTTGGGTCAGGGTTCAGGTTAAGGGTTTCAAGGTTATGGTTTAGTTAGTGTTCTAAGGCTTAGAATGTGTCGTCGTCATCATAGTCCTAGTCTTGCCAACAGTACTCACTCCTTTCGCATTCCACAATGCTACTGATACGGGTAGTTATCTAAATTAGGGGACCTTTTTTGTTTCCTTTTTTTATAAGGGTGCCGTCTATATATATATATATATATATATTGTGGGGACCCAAAAGGACCCTAATCTAGAGAACTACACATACTGTTGTCAGGTGTTCTGGCAGCTACCGGCACATTTTTTTGGACGGTTTTAGGGAAGTTCCTGGGTTTTGAAGAGCAAAACTGAGGTCCACGAGAAAGACGGGGATGCCAGCGCCCTCACCAAGCCGACGGAAGCTTGCCTCACGTAAAATACTTTAACCTACCAAAACCTACTTTTTTTGTCGGGTCCCTAGAAAATTCCGTATTGGGGTTTATAATAAGAGCCTACAGAAAAGTAGGGTTTGGTAGTTTAAGGTAGGGGATTCAACAGTTACGATAGGGCTCATAAGCCGGACCTGAGGTTCCTGAAAGGGTTCTATCAGGGGCTTAGCCACGGTTTAGGGTTTACGGTTTAGGGTTTAGGGTTTAGGGTCCGAGGTACGTAATACTTATGGCCTGTAGGCCCAAACCCTACCGCGTCGTAGGTTACTACCCCCTAGAACCCCTGAGTTTGGCGTTGCTCTTGATCCGTCTTTGCGGAGGAGGGCTTGGGATGTTCAGGGTTTAGGGTTCATTAGTCTAAGGGACAACAGGAGGGACCCCTAGAAGGGACCCCTAATCCAAATACCTTTTATATATATATATATATATATTTATATATTTATTTATTTATATATATATATATTTATTTATTTATATTTATACTTATATTTATATATATATATATACACACAGGGCTCAGAACAAGGGCATTAGCGC